CATTCTTGTTCATAGCAGTTCAAGACAGCTATACAATTATAAAAATTACTCACAGAGCACTTATAACCCCAAGTTCAAAACAACCTAGCCCTTCCAAAAACCTCTCTCTCTGAACGCTTAATTTTGCTTCTGAAATCCTTCTCTTTGCCTGTTCCTCAAGGTTTCTGCCCGCATGCAGTAGGTGTAACACATAGGAGAAAAGTGCTGATCTTCCAGAGACATACTAGGAAATCACAGGCGTCTTCCCCGCTTGAGCTAGCTGGTTTTGTAAACTCTCCCGTGTCCTGTTGAGAGCTGGCTACTTAAGAGTAAAAAGACAGATGGAGTCAATTTGTAAATGACCACGCCTCTCCACTTGCAAATATTAGCCTTCTTCCTCCTTTAAATGGGAAAAAGCAAGTGGGTGAAGCCAAATACATTAAATTTAAAATCCCTCCTCTGTCCTTGACTTTCCATGAGAATGGATGTGGATGTTTCTCCACCAGCTCCCACATTCAGTTAATCCTTTCCCCCAGACCTTTCCAATTCTGTTGAAAAGTCCCTAATTCACCTCTTAATGATGAACTAAACTGAGCCAATTTTCACCTTTTAGACTCAAATTACTACAGTCCACCCCACCCACAATTATACGAGATTCAACTTTGCACCACAGGAAAATACCAACAGTACAAGTAATGAGCCTTTGAAATCACTCAGGGAAAGTTAAGTGGTGTAAACATTAGAAGCAACTACCAGGGGACTGTAATATGTAATCACAGAAAAGGTGACAAAGAACTCCTGCTGGCAAGAGCTCCAGGCATAGAAAAGGTATGCACTGTTTAATTATGAAAGCAGTAAGATTAGGCATGTTCAATCAAATCCATACATGACAGGGAAATGGGAAGAAAAACAGAAAGCATTTTTATTTCTTCTAGCATTGTGTATTAAATTACCACAAAAAATATACAATTTGGCACAAACTAAACTTCAAAATAATTTAAGCTTTTAGAATTAAATCTATTTAGAAATACTTTAAAAGACTTAGGCAGTTATGTAGATTTCCTAACAAAATACTCTAATAATTAATTCATGAAATTAAATAAATATTCAAAGACTCTTGCCATGAAAACACTTACTGGATTGGGATGAAATTTTGTCTGTCACTTTATTTTTCCCCTCACAGACTTAAGCTATTAGACAAAAAACAAATCTTAAAAAACTTTCCCAAAAGTCAACAGATTATGCAATAGAAAAACTTCATTTATTCACTCAAATTATAAAATTTATTATGTGTAAAGCATAATTCTAGCTGTTAAAGCCATAGTAGCCTACAAACAGTGAATGCTCAATAAATGTTTGTAATTAACAGAAAAAAATGATAAATATGACTTAAACCCTACCTTAGAGGTTATAATATACTAAAGGAGATAATAGTATTATTAACAGTGCTGCTATACTAATAATATGCTATATTAATATACAGCTATATGTCTTTTCTATGTATAATTAAATACCATAATTTGCATAAAATAATGCAATGGTTATATATAATGGCTTTATTAGTAATAATACAGCTATCATAGAAATTAAATAATATCAATTAATATATATAAATAGCATACATCTATAGAAGATTGTTTTCATAAAAGTAATGCAAAAGGTGAACTAGAAATATAAGTAAATAGCAAAAAAATAAAATGGTATATGACATTATTGTATCTCTATCCTAAATGGTCAACTAATGACAAGTTAGTGATTTAAAAAATATGCATATACATATTTATGAATGCATACACATATAAACAAATATAAATACATAGATGCATACATACCAAATTCATCAATGGATAAATGATACTGGAGGGTTGGAGGAAGATGAATGTTAACTACCTATATTGCTTTGCCAAATAAACAAACAATCCCTCTGGATAAGGGTGGCGGTAATGTTGTGTGATAGCACCTCACAGTTTCAAGTGTTCATTACATGCCAGGCCTTCCTGGTGTTCATTCTTCATATACTCTATATACTCATTCTGTGTATAAAAACCTCAAAAACAATAAAATGTTTAAATTGTTACTATGTTTGTGTGGCACTCTACAACTAGTAACTTGTTGGATTTTTAATTCAGAGCCCGTAAATGCTAGACTATATAGATATTTGTATCTAGGAATTTTTCAGTTAAGAACCTCCTTGCTAATTCTTGTATGACCTTTGTCTTTCATACCCTCTCGTGTTCACTGAAGGCAAATATTATCCACATCAGGAATAAGATTGTCTGGAGTTCAAAAATATAGACCTCCTCTGACAAAGTTATGGTTTCATTAGCATTCAAGTTCTGGTTATTTTTATTTATAAGTGAATATGAATTTTTACAAAGAAATCTTATTACCATCCTAATAATCAATTAACATATATTGATTGCCCACTTGATGCAGGCCCTCAACTAAATTTTAAAAATAGCATATGAATCTGGAGCTATTAGTATTTTTTTTAATATGAACAAGTTGGCAAAGACTTGTGGAAATACATTATGGCAAATGGGAAGAGAAATTCTGTTGATAAATGTCAAGGATTCCTATTGTTTGTAAAATGTGAAAATTATCATTTTTAATTGCATACCTCTGTGTTTGGTATGGAAATAAGCTGACGTCTCAGCAAAGCACTCGGTATTACCTACCCTAGCAGAAAGCTTACAATCATCTGACATTGGACTCATTGTCAAAATGTTTTAAAAAGCCTGCAATCTTTAAACAATTAAGACAAATTATAATAATTTAATGATTTTGAAATGAGCTTGTCTCTTAATGAACAAGCTAAGGAAACTAGAAATAAAATATGATGGAAATTGTCAAAATAACAACAACAAAAAAATGAGGACACTGCTTTTGACATTTACAATTATTTCGTCACAAATATTTGTTTAATTAGACAATGTGGTAAATCACCAAGGTGAGACTGAAAGTTACCAAAACTGAATTCTGGTATAAAAGTTAATAATTTGAGTTCATAATTATTATGCACATGCTAGTTATAATAATTTACTGTCCATACCAAATCTTTATAAGCATTGTAATTAAATATAAAATGCATATTAGAATTATAATGAGTAATCAGGGCAACATAACTAATAGGCATGAAATTCCCAAAGCTCATTAAAATGTTAAAAGACAAAACCTGTTCTACCTACTGTTTTTGCATATTTTCTATAACTAAATGAATGCCAACAGAGTCTGTCTATTGTTTTACCATTTTTGGTTTTATGAATTATGCATTTAAAAGGCCTCGCAAACATTTGGTTTAGTTATCAACTACAGGCGTATTTTCAGTTTGGAAGTAACAGAGCTAAAACACACACACCATATGCACACACAACTACATTGAAATTATTTATTTTCAGGCTATTACTAGGCCATCTCAAAAGATTTACTTCAGTAAGAACTTATGGACATTACAGATATGACAGAGAGCAGACACTTGAGTGAGAAATAGATACTGACAGTCATATGTCACTAAGAAGTGGTTATTTGTTACATAGCATTGTTGTAGCAATAGTTGACTAAAACATGGCATAAGCCCAAAGGTTACCTGTGATTGCTTTCTGAATCACAATAGATTAGGGGAAGCCATAGACAAACACTGCTTGATTTTTTTTCTAGAACCCTGATGTCCAGATATATAGTATTTTAATGCCAAGTCACAGGGTGTTATATTTGATATTGTATTATATATAAAAATAAAGTGCTGAAGTTAACCATTTATTTTTAGATGATTTGTTCCAAATAGTATTTAAGTACTCTAAGGAATATGTTAAATTTAATTATATATAAAAATAGGTATATTTATATATAGTATATACCAGTGATCAATATATAAAGCATCAGTTGATAGTAGATTAAAACTGTGGTACATTTACATAGTGGCCATAAAAAAGAAGGAAATTCTACCTTTTGCAACAACATGGATGGACCTGGAGATTATTATGTTAAGTGAAATAGCCAGTCAGAAAAAGATAAATATTGTATGAGCTCATTTATATGTGGCATCCAATGAATAAAATAAAATGATAAACAAAATAGAAACAGAGGCATAGACACATGGAACAGACTGACACTTGTTGGCGGGGAGGAACTGGATGAAAGAAGGTAAAGGGATTAGCCAAAGAACATACGTGCAAAAAACGCATGGACACAGACAACAGTGTGGTGATGGCCAGAAGGAAGGAAATGTGGGTGATGGATGGAGGTGGGCAAAAGGGGGAAAAAGGGGGGAAAAGAGGGAAAAGCTGTAATAGTATTAACAATTAAAAAATAATTATTTATTATATATTGATAATACATATATTTTATGTATTTATCTATGTATAAAGGGATGAAAAAACAAGCTATTATTATATAGCAAAATATCAAAAGCATGAAGGTGACATATTTGTTGACATTGCATGATTCATTTCACAGGCACACAATTCCTGTATGGATTATATTTCGCAGTGAGGGAAAAGATGCAATCATCAAATAAAGAAGTAAATGTATACTATGTCAAACGGAGATTATTATTATGGAGAACAAATTAAAGGAAGGTTAAGAAAGAAGGGATTGTAGGTAAGGGGGTAGGATTATTATTTTATATGGGGCCTCTGTGTAATCCTCTTCAGGAAGGCGAAATGGGAGTAGAGCTTGAAAGGAAATGAAGATGGAAGCAAGACATAAACATGTCTCAGTGGCAAGTATTCCAGGCTGAGGAATTATCAAGTACAAAGAACCTGAAGTAGAAACATTCTTGTTCCATGTTCCATAAATATCTAGTAGTCCAGTGTGACTAGAGCTGATTGGGCAAGAGAAAATGGACAGAAGTATGGTCAGAGAGAGAGCAGGGAAGTCAGATTACTTAGGGGTCTTGAGATCACTGTAATGAATTTGACTTGTGTTCTGAGTGAAAGAGGAAGCCAGAGTGTGGCTGTGTGTCATAGTACAGTTGGGGGACTGGACTTGTTTTAACAGAAACGCTGACTGCCATATTGAGAATGGCCTACAGAGTGAGCAAAGACAAAACCAGGGGTTACCAGTTAAGAGATTTGCAAGCAAGAGGTAATGTTGGCTTGCGCCAGCATGATAGTTATGGGGTGGTAGGAGTGATAGTTATGAGGTGGTAGGAGTGGTAGGTGGTGGATATGGGGTGGTAGGTAGGTAATATGCATTTTAAAGGAAAAACCTACAAAACTATAGAGTCTCTCAAGACTTGGAAATTTTTTGTAATGGCATTTATGAACTGGAAATAGCAAGTGTTCATCAAATGCACAAATGAGGTTTACAGGATAATTGCAGTAAATAGAGAGGAATCTCATGATTTTTTACTTAAGGGGCACTAAATAAGATTTAGATTGAAAGGAGGATATTGGCTGAAGTGTAGGTGTATATAATATGTGTGTGTGTATATATATGTGTAGGTATGTGTGTGTGTATGAAGGGGGATACAAGAAAATGGAATTTTAAAAAAATTATATATTTATTCTTAGATGTTTAAACTTCAACACCTTCAAAGTACTTTCCATTTGATGCAATACACTTATCGAGACGTTTTTGCCACTGTTCAAAACAGTAGAACTTAATTGACTTTAATACCTTTTAGTGCCTCTGCCATTTTTTGTTTTATTTCTTCCATATCAGCAAGACATTTCCCTTTGAGGACTTTTTTCATCCAGGGAAACAAACAAAAAAGTTGTTCACAGTGAGATCAGGTGAATAGAGAGGGTAGGGGACATACTGTTTTGGGTCAAAAACTGGTGGACACTCAGGGTTGTGTGGGCATGTGTACTCATAAATCACCCATCATGAAATGGGCAAATGTGTTGAAAGAGTCTTCAAAAAAATTCACTGTAGCCAGATGCATCCTCTCACAACACCACCAGCTGGTGAACTGATACAGGTGGGTTCCTAGAACACTCACATAACAAGGGAAGCCCGTACTAAAAGGGGTCCACTGTCCAGAAGATAATGCTGGTTTATTTTGGGATTATATCTATATCTATCTACATCTATATCTATTATCTATTATCTATCTATCTATCATCCATCTATCTATCATCTATCTATCTATCTATCTATCTATCTATCTATCTATCTATCATCTATCATCTCTTTCTGAGCAGAAGAGGAAAGAGCCCAAATATTTTCTTTAATAATTTATTCATATGCTGCTGTTGTTAACATGGAATTTCTTATTTGTCAGTCAGACTTTTCTTCTCTTGACACACCTTTCAGTTGTCAAATTACTTTGGCTATGAGGCAGAGTTTTCTCATACTATATTTCACTTAATCTTTTTAAGAAGGATGACATTTTCTCCTTATCAAACATTCTTATCCACAAATAAATCCACTGTATTGTTTATCAAAATTATAGTCTTTCTACCTTCCTTCCACATTTTTTTATTTCTTTAAGATACACTATTTGTAAGTAAAATGTCTCTTCTAATTTGTCTTCTTAGTTACTACTTTTGCTTTTAGTTACTATTTACTATGTTTGTTGTGATTTAGCTTTCTCCATAAATAGAATTTTCCAAAACTGTGTTCTTCAAATGTAAAGAAAAATTATCTCTCAATTCTATGTCTGGTATCACTTTCTGTTATGTTGTTTTTCTCCTTGTTCATAAGTTCATTGCAAGTTTCACAGTCATGATCTTGGTTGCTTTACTCTTTAAACCATATAGAAGTATTATAACAAAGAAAGCAACTTCCACAATGCAGGTCTAAGAACACAGCTGATTGCCACCTCAAAACAAATGAAGAGGTAGAAGTGGTTCAGTTTAATATTCATTTTCTTACTAGGGAGTCTGTGCATATGGTTTTGAAAAATGTCATTGACTTAACACATTCCTATATTCTCACCAGACTTCTAACATTCTCCTTCATGCATTTCAGGATGGTTGTCAGGGAGAAAAGAGTAGTTAACACCAGTATTTCTGTAATATAAATCTTACTTTTGTCTTTAATTTTTTTTATTTTTCTCTCTATGCAAAGGTTTTCGTTTGTTCAAGATGTGTTTGCAAAGTAACTCTTCAGATATATTAGCAATGGAATTTATTCATTTTTTTCAGAATTAAACAATTTTAGTAACTGACTTTTAATCATCTTTTAAAATGTCCCATTTTAAGATTATTGAAGGTCACAGGTGCAAACAGAAAGGATAAGCCATTCAGTCAACTAAAAAATCTAATCCAGTGAATATTCTGAATAGGGCAGAAGTCATAACAGCTCAAGGCTCCCTAGCCCTTCAGATTTACCATTAGGTCCATGGAGAAGCTGGCCCTGAGACAAGGGAAAAACCTTGCCTCTAGTGAGATCCAGTGAGAAATTAGCCTAAGGAAAGATCCCACCAGTGTTATCCCCCTCTATTACTAAGCACATCTTTATTGCTATCATTTTTATATGGATTGACTGCAAAAGTCTTAAATTTATATATGACTAATTTATTTTGATCTTCAAAAATATACCATAACTTAAAACATAAATATAAACAGAATAGAAACCTAAATAACATATCTGAACTGATACAACTAGAAAATTTTCCCCATGAAAAAAAATTCCTCCCAAATTTTCACATTTTATAGGTAATTTAAATAAACATTTGAACTCTTTTAATCTTTATATTTTGGGGATTCACTAAAAAATAATTTATAGCAGGAAATGTATTATGACTTTAATGTGAAAAGAATACATTCAAATGTTTAAGGATTCAGACAAACTTTGTTACAAGACAGTCAAGATAGCATGTGCTGAGAGAATAGAGATGCCTTTGGAGAATCCCAACTTCACAATTCCTGCAAATGTGTCCAGCATAGCCAAATCAATCAGATACGGCTGTAATTTCAGCATGACTGATAACAGAGAAGAGATCAAATCATGAGTGAAGTCTAAAGAAAGAAAGCTTGAGTTCACCAGCTAGGAAAACAGTGAACCATTTAATTCCTATTGATAAAACTGGTGGCCCCATAAATTTCAGGCGTTTTACAGTGGATGCCTCCCTGGAGTGAGCGTTGCTGACTGCGAGGGGACCGCATCTTCACATCGTAATTTCACTAGTGCTGGCCCTTGCCAAAAGCATAGGAAGGAATTCTGCCTAAACACCAACAGACTCCTCACTGTATAACCCTTTCTCCCCTGACTGTTCTTTTATCAGCTTCTTCATGAGTTGCAGACAACCTAACCATTTCATTCTTCAGTGGCTTCTAGCAGATACGCATTAGTAATCAACACAATATCAGATCCATTCACACCACAAGATACCTGATTAATGAGAGCTTAAGTATATTTAACCCCTTGGAAAGGGTTAATTATTCTAAGAACATTAAACCATGAATCTAGGAAAAGAACCCCTTATTGTTATAGTTTTAAAAATGCACAGTTTTTTTTTCTTTGAGTGTGTAGGGGACCAGTGCAAAGGCCTTCAACAATGCCCCTAGAATCAAACTTAATATGCAGTGACATATCTTAGCTCTGAAGTGTTTTACAAAATATTTTTTTATGTACCTGCACAAACATAATGGAATCAGAGACCACAGCTTAACATACTGTCATATTGGATGCTAATGTTTAATAAAACCATTGAAGTCAGTTTATATGTGAAATTCCACTTATTATTGTCTTTCTCCTGAAAGAGCAAGTGATATCATCACATGCTTAACTGAATCAATACCTTGATCTTTTATATGTCCTGACACCTAATCAACCTCCACAATTGTATGTTTTCCATGAAAGGAAACCTTTGTGTTCCATACAATTTTTATTTTGTATCACACTTATAAACCCAAGCCTCTTTGAATTTTGTTGGTTAGCTACACTAAATAAAGCAAAATATGAATGAAATTTGGGGAGGAAAGTGATATACTAGTCTAGCTTTTAATTAATCACATGTTTGCAGTACCTAGACAGTGAATCTTTTAATGCTTTTAAAAACTTTTTATTGATTTTTTTTAGAGAGAGGAGAGAGAAAGAGAAACATCAATTTGTTGTTCCACTTATCTATGCATTCATTGGTTGATTCTTGTATGTGCCCTGGCAGGAGATCCAACCCGCATATTGGGATGACGCTCTAACCAACTGAGCTACCTGGTCAGGGAGACAATGAATTAAAAAAGAAAAAAAAAATCAGTTTCCTTTTCTACCCATATTTTCTCATGATTCTATGAATTTAAAGGAAGAATAGCTGTAATACCCTATTCACTTGTAATTATTCCTGTTTAATAATAGCTAATGTTTTCTCCTTAGTGAACAGCACTGTTGGATAAGCACTTTGCATAAAGTGGTTTATACTGTCTATACAGCAATCCTGTGAAGTAGCCACTATTCATCTTACAGGTGAAAAAAACTAAGGCCTAAAGGGTTAAGTAAACTTAGTGAATGTTAGAAACACTTTTGTTTGACTGCAAAGTAAAGCCTTTTTACTCCACTATTTTGTTACTGTGTAAATGTTTAAGGTCATGAGGAAGCTGGAGGTACTTACAAACTGGATTATTTTCATCCCCTGTGAAAGCAGACAAGGAGTGTAATTCAATGTGAAAGCCTTTTACGTCATGAAGATTATAATTCTACTGTATTTCAGTAGTATGATTTAAAAAATCTTACTAAATATAGTTTTTAAATTTTCTCTCAGCAATAACATGGAGTTGTCTGCAAGAGCAAATTATTCCATAAAGCTTCAAGCTTTCCATTTGCTTCATGGAAAATGTTTATTGACCTTGTAATCCATTTCTGTGGGATCTATGATAACCATTTAAAGGTTATCAAATTTTGTAACTATCATTAATCTCATCTGTAACAATAACTTATTGAACATGTCCTATAATATGTGTTTTATGGTAGGTACTAGAAATCTTTTTTTTATTTTCTAAGACTGTCCATTTATTTGATCAAGGCTGCTTTAGTGTGGCTCACAAGTTCTAGAATTTAGACCAAGATCAACATGCTTATTTACCATGGTGTTTTCTTATGTAGCTTCTGTAGGATGAATGTCTTCATGACTTATTTTTCATTAGTATTTCTCATTCTTCTTTATTGTTGTCATTATTTAACATGACACTTTCATCATCACC